TATCCTACACCCTTTTCTTATATTCTCGACCCCTCCCCCCACTGGTAACAAGTTGTTGATAAGAACTTGCAAATTGAAACTGAATTGGTAGGGCCACTGTGATCATAGCCAATAAGTAGGTTTTCTGAAGGGGCTGAGATGGGCAGAAATGAGTGTCAGGTTTTCTTCCCACTTAATCAAGATTACTTGTCACAGAGCTAATAAATGAGAATGAAGCTTTGATCAAAAAACATTCTTAGATTCTAAAATTTCAGTGAAACCAAGATTTTTAAAACAAGAGTAATTTTAAAAATAAATATCTATTTCCACATAGATCATATGACTCATTTAATTATATAAGTTAAACTCATAGGTAAACAAAACAAGTATTGTTTTCCTTTTAGTTATTTTCTCTAGACCCCACTTCTCACAGAAAATGGAAAGCATAAATCGGGGCGAGGGGTGGGGAACTGAGAGGTATGATTTTACCTTCTACAATTTCATGAAGCACATTGTTAAGCCCTGTGAAGCCAGAAGGGTATATTCAAGTTCACTAAGGTGTAAATTTTCATTTATTATCCACATAGTTTTCCTCTCAGTTAGAAATAAGAGCATTTCTCTGGATTCAAGAGATCATTGGGTTTTTTTTTTTTTACAAGACCATCCTTTACAAATAGCGCTTGACTTAAAAGTAAGTGAAAATAGACCTTAGATTTTTCTCTGGAGGCTTAACTCTACCACAGAAGCACAAACATACTACACTAAAGCATTTTTTCTTAAATTCATTGACTCCTCTTCTGTCCCTCCTTTCCTCCCCTATTTTTCCCTTCCCTTTTCCTCTTCGCTCACTCATCATCTACATTTTTATCACTCCACTGCCTATTTGCTTGAGCAAATGGGTTAAGCAGTGTGTGTAGAGGGCAGAGAGGGACAGAGAGACAGGGACAGAGAAATAACAGTATAAGTCCAAGAATATGGATTTCTGGTCAAGGAGAAAAGGAAAAAATGACTTTATTTCTCTCTCTTTGCCTGCTTCCTCCCTCCTTCAAGCCCTAAGCAAAACTCAAGAAGTTGCCTGTCTTAAAACTTTTATTCATCTTCAAATAGTGTGAGGACAAAGGTGGGGAGACCAGTTTGTAGATTATTGCAATATTCTTGAAATTAGGAAGTGGCAGAGGCTTGTACCAGGATATTTTTAGTGAATTTGAACCAGGATATTTGAAAGGAAGTGGTTGCATTCTGGATTTATTAAAATTGAAGAGAAAGGCAGGATTTTCTGAAAAATCTGAGCACAAGATAGGAGAGAAGAAAAAGAGCGATCGAATGACCATGCTATGAGCTAAAACAAAGAAGAGTGCAGTAGAGTTGGCTCTTGAGAATGGGTAGCAGATGGAGGCTCTGTTTTCGACAGGTTAACTTGAGACTATCAAGAAAAGAAATTTCATTTTAATTAGAGTTCACAGAAAAGGTCCATTTGGAATCAGGGATACAACTGACACATTTAAAAACCGCAAGATGAAATGACCTTACATAGAAAGGTCATATGGATCAAAAAGATCAGAGATCTAAGGACTGAGTCCTGTGGCATATGACTCAGAAAATGGGGAATAAGCACTTCCTGCAGAAAGGGACTGCTGTAGATTGTATACTCGAGAATGTATGTCCTTGTTTTAATTTTATTTTGCTCAGCAATTAGTTTGTGAATATTTGTTATTTCACTATGAGCTCTTTCTTTACATTTCCAAAGTAGAATACCCCTAATTATAACAAATACACACACATGAGTATGTATTTGTGTATATATTCTATATGTTAGTATTAGATATATTTAAGCTTGTTAAAATAAACATTCTATTTTATCTATGGATAAAAGTATAGTTTAAATCAGTGTTTAACTAATATAAAAATGATACGAAACTAATTTCAATTTTTCTTATCCATAATGAAATGCTGTATTACTTATGTCCTATAAAATAATTTTTGTTTGAGGAAATATTTTTTCTTTCTTCTGGTTTCATCTGATTGATAGTTGATTTTCAAGTGTTTGTGTTCAGTTTAAATCTTGGACTACTATAAAATAGAGTTTAGTTATGCTCTTTTTATCTAGATAATTAAGTTATACTGACAACTCTCCATTTAAGAAGCTATAAATGTTAAAATATAAGACATGTTTAAAGAGTAAGGCACTGAATAGGTAGATGAACTTTATGTACACTAAAATTATTTTGTGGGTGACAATATTTTTCCCTATACCACACTATTTCATCCTGGATACCAACATTGTTTTTATTATAGAAAATGAATCTGTCAGTCTCCATAGCATCCAAAGATGCTTGTCATTTAATGACATCATCAGAGGAACCAAGGCTATGTAAGTGCTTCAAAGGAGATGGACTGGGATAGAGTCTGTCCCACTCAAGTGACTGAAGAATTATGGGAGTGTGGGGAGAAGAAGGAGTTCATTGGGAGGGAAAAGACAAAAGAATAGTAGGAAGTGTTAGGAGAGGAAACACTAACATAAGAAGAGAACCAAAGCAACTGGTATAGAATATAAAGACAGATTGTAACAGTAAACTTGTAAAAGACAGTAATTAGAGTAGTGTAAGGTCACTTTATCAGTTGTTGTGAATCATGACCCAGGATTTTGAGGGGATCTCAGAGTCAAAACAATGGCAGAGACTCTCTCTCATTTGTCCACTTGCAACAAAATCTCTGGAGAATTTATTATAAATGCTACAACCTAATGAAGCAGAATTTCTTGGCATTTGCCAAGATATCTGCATTAAAAAAATAAACACTCAAACTCTGTCATCATTCCTGAGTGAGTTTTATGTCTGCTAAAAATTGAGCAGGGTATAAGAAGTAATATGTGAGAAAGAAATCTTAGACATGTATGTGTTAGAATCAAATGCAAAGGAGATTCTAAGATAATTGGCAGAGCCAGAAATATCCAGAAAAAGTAATGGAAATAGATAGTATTCATGAATAAAGTAAGAGTGACCTGTCAAGAAAAAATGATTTGCGTAAAGAAGAAAGACAATAAAGACAGGTGTCAAAAAGAATAAATAAGAGTGAGTGTATCGGGAGGCCGGGAGGCCAGCAATGATGTTCTCAGAAAGGAAAGTCATGTGAACAGAAAGATGGAAGAACACATGGCCTTGAGCACTGTAGCTTTGCAGGGACTAAGCCACGGGGGATGTCAGTACCCATAAGGCCACATCAAGGAGCAACTGTAGTGACAGAAGAGGAGGGCAGTGGAGAGGGTCACAGTGTACAGTCACGCTGTGTTCTGTGTTGGGTCTGCAACCCATCCTGCACTCTGTTGTCACAGTTGCATGTATCAAACATTACCTCCACCATGGTGACAAATTCATATCTTTAGGTAATCATTTTCTGTGTAAAAGTAAGCTAGAATTGTTTGATTTATTAGAAACCATGGTACATTGTACTTTGTAGCAGCCTGACTGCCAAAGAAGAGTTTGTGATTTTTGTTCTGCAGACCTGGGTCCCAACGAACATGAGGCAGAAACAGACACAAGTCAATGCCAGGGACTATTGTTTCTTTTCTCCTCTTCTCAATTGGTATTTTTCATCTGCCTTAATTTGCATTAAAGTAAGTGATAATTAAGTATGCTTTACCTTCTGATGTTTAAAAGTTTGCAAGTAAGAAATGAGAGCAAATCTTTACAATTATCACAGATTAGCAATACATTTCTTAGACTTCATCCTGTACTCCTTATTTCCGTCCTGTCCTATCTTCTGAAAAGCTAAAGCAACCATGGACATTTCTTTTATTCATTTTGCAAAAAATTGAATGGAAAAATTAGGCATATTTATTATATATTTGCAAAAGAATATCATCTCCTTAAATATTCTATTTTCCCCTGGAAAAAAAAGATTGAAGAGGAAATAAAGCTTCCTAGATACTAGCTTTTCCTACTAATTTCTAATTTTTCAAAATAAGAAAATCAATTGTGGGAATTTGAATAATTTGGCTGGCAAGGTAGAGGAAATATTTAATACATACCCAAAATAGGCTGCAGTGGATTGTCCAAAAAATGCTTTGACAGTTGGGTGTAAGCAAGTTTGCACCAACCCTGTGAGTGAACCAGCTATGCTGTCCCCTTCCTTCCTTCCAGACAGTGTTTGCTGTCTTATTCTCCTTTTCTGGAAGATCTGCCTTGTCTTTTTGAATGGAGCTGGTCAAAGATTCTATGCTCCATGGTATCTCATTTCTTCATGTTCTTGATTAGTTCTTAGATGATTATAAAAGTCAATGATTTTTCAATTAATAATCAATTTTCAGTTTTTAAAAATAGGTTAGATAGGAAGATATAAGGAATAAGAAGGTTGGTGATAAAATAATATAATGAAATTTTTATGCTATGAATGTTTCTTTCTAACCAATAAAATTACCCATTTACCTACTTGACATTATTTTCTCCACATTTCTGAGCCATTTATATTTACTCCCTCTCTCTCTACCTTTGCCCAGAATAATGGGAGGGAGGTGATATAGGTATTTTGTTAAATGCTTGTTCTGTACCTAGCATTATTTTAGGCATTTTATATGAACACTCTCTAATTTTACCCACCTCATAAAATAGTTGGGGTAATTATTCCCATTTGTCTGGTGAGGAAACTGAGAGCTGCCCCAGGTCACCTAGTTAGTAAGTGATAAGCCAGGATATATATTGAGATTGGTTTGAACATAAAAGGGTCAGATGTTTCCCTATGCATTAATTGGCTTGCAGTTCATTAGTTATTCCTATCAATAATTTTGAACACTGATATGTAAGATATGTAATCATGTAGAGTCTTCCTTGTGATTGAGCGAGGATTGCATTTGTTTTACCAAGTCTTAAACTACATAAAAATTGTTCAGACATCATAACCAGTTCTTATCTATTCAACAGGAACTAAGGACACTTGGAGCTCTGTTTATCACTGACCATCTGGTATCAAGGCCTGCCAACTCTTTCTGCTTTTTGTGTAACTTGCTGTTCTCTTTGTTGTTGCAGTACTGGATACCAGTTTATTTACTACTCACCTGAAAATACAGCAAAAGCAAAAGAAGTTCTCAGCAACATCAATCAACTGCAACCTCTGATAGCAACCCATGCAGACTTACTGCTTAATTCTGCAAGCCAGCATTCTCCAGACAGCTTGAAGAATTCTTTAAAGATGCTTTCAGAAAAAGTAAGATCCAAATCATCCCTACAGTGGGGAATATGAAATCCTCCAATCCCCACTGGTGCTTCTTTTGCATGCATTGCCTTTCATAGCATCTGGAAATGTAAGAGAGTAGGTTAAAAAGGAGCTTCAAAGTATTGCCACGGGACCAAAATGAATTGGTTTCATTCTCTTTGCAAATCTTACTAGTCATTACTGTTTTCTTCTAGTAGGAAATGAAACCTGCATTGGTTGGTGTATATTTTCTCTTCTCCTCAGTATCTTTCATTTTCTTTGGTTTATGTATTGAATTAGATTTTGAAAATTACTTTATTTTCTTCTAGTGGTCAACTAATTTTTATGCACATATATAAAGCTATGCATTTGAATGGGAATGCCACTTCAGTTGAAGGCAGAACTTTGATGTGGATTCCATTAGTGCCTTGGGTAATTTCTCTGCCTCAGTTTGCATTCAACAGCATTATCTACTGGGAGAAGATTCTAGAGATTTCCAAAAGTATGTGTTATTATTTAAAGCTTGGTGGAACCTAATCCTGAGTTTTTCCAAAGGCAACTTGCCCCTTTGTCTGTAGAAAGGAAGGGTGATCTGGAATGAGGCAGGTTCTCAATATCAACTTTTACAGTTTGTCAGGGCAGCTGTCTAACATAGAACAAAAGAAGAAAAAGACAAATTACAGCCTGATTACAAATGTAAAATCAGGTGTACTCAAGTCTAATGCCAGCACGCACATTCTTCACTCTACATTCTGACTTCTTTTACTTTACTAAGAGACATTTCTAATAAATAGGTCCCTGAAGAAACTAACCAAAAATGTCCCTTATATAATTATAGAATAAGTCAACAGTGTGGTTCTTACCTCTCTGGAGAACAGACTCATAGAAGCCAGGTAATTACATATGTCTGTACTTTTTATTCAGATAGGTTAATTGGTAATAATATCTTGTTCTTGTTCAACATTTTTGTTTACATCGTACATTTGCAGATACTTTTCTCATAGGACAAAAATACCATTTCTTCCCATTACAAATTAGCAAATATCTATTGAGAAAGGTCAAGAGAATTTTCTAATAAACTAAAAAGAGAGAAGTCATCACCCAAGACTTTGCAGTATGAGATGCAGCATCTTTCCTGGCCAAAACAGATGCCTCCATCATGAAAAGGGATGAAAATATTCTCCTGACTTTACAAGTAGCTACTTCGTGTCAAGGCAAGGGGCTCTATGCCTTTTGCTGTTTTATTTAATCTTTACATTTGTTGGGTATGTATTACCATCATTCCACAAAGGAAAAGATGAAATCTCTAAGAAGTTAAGAAATGTCCAAAGTCATGCAGCTAGAGTCAAACCCAGGAATCAAACAAAACCAGGTATTCAAACCCAGGTCTGCACCCTGTATATAGTATATGTGTTCTGATATTTCCTTATTTAAAAATTTTGACATTTATTTTATTGGGCAAGCTCCTTAACAATATGTAAATATTTATAGTCAACAAATATGTGGAAAAAAGAAGAAAAAACAAGATTGTTGTATGCAGTAAAGTAACATAATTTCATTTTTGTTCATTTCTCTTTTGAAGTATTAGATGAGGTAAGGGTTTTTGGGTTCACCTAAGCAGAAAATTTTAGCAATAGCACATCACCGCTTGATTACAGAGCTGTATTTATATTCTTCCTGTGCATTGGGCAGGGACTTGTCATTTCATACATCATTTACAACTTTTCTGGTCCCTTAAGTCCAGCATTGTTCCAACTTTTTTCTTTTTTCTACTGAGTTGACAAGCTTTGTCTGCTAATAAACCTTTCAACCCTTGAAACTAGGAGGATCTTTTTAAAGTTAAGTTTGCAAGACATGCATTCTTTTAAGAATTCATGCCTGGAATTTCAAGGAATTATCTAAGTTAACAGTTTTGTACAGTCTCCTGAGAGTAGCACATAATTTAGAATAAAGGATGATCCAAATTCAGCATGAGAGAAAAATAGTTTTAGTGTTATCTTAAGTTTTAATATAATTTCATACTAGCAGGATTGAAATTTTCAAAGCCTTTTTAAAGTTTCAGGGTTTTTAAATTACTGTGGAATAGAGAATTAAATTTCTTTCTTCATTAATAATCCCCATTTAAAAAATAAATTTAAATTATATACTAAAGTTATACAACAGATCTTATACAGATATAAAAATGTTACTAGGATTACTTCATTCTAGAAGGTTACTTCATCCTAGAAGCAAATTTACCTAACCATTATCTTACATAGTTATCCTTTTCTTGCTGTTGTTGAAATGTAGCTAAAATCTACTCATTTAGAATGAATCACAAATATATTATCTGTCTTCCTCATGTTGTATGTTAGATCTCTAGATGTGTTCATCCTTCATAACTGTTAGTCTGTGTGGTCTAATCTACATCTCTCCATTTCTTTTACTGATTCTGAACTGTATATTTGGGAAATAATTTCATAGTGCTGCTTTTCTAGAAACTCATCCATGTAGCATATTCTAGAAATAATAAGATTGTCTAGATTCATACTTATCAGGGAATTCTGGAGGTTTTGTGGCCTTTGAGCACCTGTACTTGGGAGAGTTCTCTGGAGTAGAGTTGGGTGACAGAGGAAGACTGAGGGCAGCACAAGGGGTAACATGGAAGGAAGCAGTAGACTGTTTTGTGATGAGATGGCATCTCTGCTCTTAGGTAAGCCATTGCACTTAGAGATGATAGGAATGGAGTCATCAGTTAAACACTTATTCAAAGTGTGGAAACAATTGGCAAGAGGAAACCCCAACTTGCAAATAGGACATATTCACAGAATCTAGGAATAGACAATACTTGTATATCCAAAAGCAATTCAATTCATCTTTGCTGCTACTGAAAACCAGACCTAAGACTTCCCAGAAAAATTCCACTCCTCTCATAGAATTCCATCCCAGTAGTAGAAAGAATCAAGAAATACACACAAAATCAAAAACACATTTTTACTTAATAAAAGTAAAAAAAAATTCTGAATTCATGCTGTTTGCTGGTTTCTGTACCTGACACTAGGAACACAGGATGGAATTCAAATAAGATCTGACCTTTTCTTTACAAGAAATTCAAGATCCTTGATAGTAATAGTAGTGATGGTAATGTTGGTGAAATAGGTAGCCTTTACCTGAGGATTAGTCATGGTATGATATTCTTATAAGATATTCAACTTTCACAATTCCAAAGATACTACTGTGGTTTTTTTTTTTCTTTAAGCATTTGTTCTTCCTAGTTCTGTGAACTTTCACAAGTTTCCTCCTTTTACATGGTTGAGGAAACTAAGACATGGAAATATTAAATAATGTACTCAAAATCACACAAGCTGTGTTCCAGGTTCTTCTTTCTTTGAACTTAACCAGTACACTAGATCTTCAAATAGGTAATGAGTGCTCTGACAGACACTTGCTCAGAGAGCTAAGGAACAAGTACATGTGAGGAGGGAACATAAGTAAAATCTCACAATAATGAATCTTTTCGATCATTTTTTCCTTGTCCTAATGAACACAAACTCAGGCAAATTGTATTATAATTTTAAAATTCTTACTATACTTTCTGATGGATAATTGGATTTGGTTATAGAATATTAGTTCATGAAAATATTAAAGAAATGATTTAATCTTATAAGAAATAAATAAATCTAACATAAAGCAAGATCTGTTTATCCAAATAATTCTAGCAGAGAAGGCAAAGGATGGAACAAATTTTTACATAAGATATGAATTATTAATATTGAAGTGAAATCAAAATGCATTTTTCTTTTCCTTGAACTGAAACTAAGCTGTTTTATGAAAAAAAATCCAAGGAAAAATGTAAATAAATGCAAACTGAAAAAATAAGAAACTGAGGACCTAAAAATAGGTGGTATAAGGGCAAACATCCCTCATAGCTCTGAAATTGTGTGACAGTAGTCATTAAGGTGCCATCCCTTCCTTCATTATGGAGAGTGATAGACCTTGTAAAGAAAGCCATTGTTGTCCTGCTCACCAGAAGGCACAGTTAAGCATTTAATTGTGCATAGTACTGAACTTGATGCTACGTGATAATTTCTACACAGTTATGGCTCTTAACTTTTACAACTTAGCACTTTAAAAGAATGGGGGTGTTTCACAATATTACAATAGTTAAATGGTTAAAAATGCAAATATTAAAGGCTATACTGTAATTTCTGGTATCCTTTCAACCACAGCAAACTCTACATTCTATTGTGTTCAAAGAAAAATAAAAACCATTTTATTCTGAGACTTAACTTGATTTTCTTAAGAAATATTCTGTTTTCTGTAATAGCAATGGCAGGAAACCAGTGCTCTAAGAAGTTTAAAACACACAGAATATAGAGGATGATATTGATGAGATGCTGAGAAAGAATTTACTGTTTATTCACTTCATCCACTCCAATGCCTATCTCAGCCTTCAACTGAAAGGAAGAATGAACAGAGGTTTTTTATTTGTTGTTTACGGGTGGTAAATGTATATGGTAGGTGTCTGTGAGCACTTCAGAACAACTGGTTTAGAGGAAGATAAAACCTTGAGATTGCAATTTATGTTTCTGCTTTTCATAATTCCTTTCAAATCATAAATGTTTTATTGGTGAAATAATATATAATTATTAGTTTTATTGGGAAATTGGATTATAGGACTAAGTAAGATATTGTTTAGAAAAATACATATATAAAATGCATGGAGTCGGTGATAGAGACATATGGATACTTCTGCCTTAAACAACAAGGATACTGAAGACAAATATGGAAAATACTCAGCACAAGAAGGTAAAAGATCTGTGATCCTTATGATTGCCTAGTTTAGTTCCTAAAGTATTTTCTGAGCTCAGCACAGAGACAGGAAACCCAATCAGACAGGGATGAGAGTTCAGAAATTCTGATAGCTGGATGAATAGATAGGTAAATAAGTAGATAGATAGATGGATGATATATATGATCGAGATACAGGTAACAGATACAAACAGGTGATAAATAAATCATAGATGCTAGAG